ACCCACTACCGATCCGTTCCGAGCAAGAACTTTGAGATTCTTCTCACTGATGTGGCCGAACCGGCGGTGCCACAACTTGAAGTCTTTGCTGATTCGACCGCACGAAAGCAACGATGTCTCACACGCACTTTGGTCCAACGAGTAAAAATCCAGTTCATAAAGCTTGTCCCGGCGCGCACCACAAGCTACCAGTTCGGAGTTGTTGAAGATTTTAGCTTTGCCGTCTTCGAACACTACCCGCATGCCAGCTTTTTCCACCTTCAGGTAAAGTTTTAGATTAGTAAAGATTGATATATTGTGTGAACTATATCACTTAAGTGCAGTGTGCTATTTTTTTTTTAATGAAATGTTTTAATAAACAGTGAAATTATCTGATGATGGCTTTGATTAGGAAAGCACACAAGACAATGCTTTTTACTGTGAATATACTTAATGAAAGGATATGTGATCATACCTGCTCCATGGTGATTCCAGTGTAAGGGTTTGTTTCGCTGTTAGATCCTTGAGGTGCATTATCTCCATTATTTCCATCGGAATCAGACTCTATTGGCTCTTCAGTGGTGTTAACTGTATCTTCTTCGGTGTGCTCCAAGTACTCTTCTTCTATTATGTGTTCAGTCGAAGTGGATTTTTGAATTTTAAGGATGATTTTGATGAGTCCAAGGACATGAACAATTCAGGTTCGTTAATTTCTTCGTCGTCTGGAATGAAAATGATGAATAAATTTAAAGTAAGAGCAGCTATTTCTGTGAAGCAATATTACTCAGATATACTCAGTAATCCTGACAATAGAAACGACGGGATATAAATTTGGTTTGGCTATTATACGGTGTCCAGAAAGCAAACGTGGTGTGCTGATGAATTTCTGTATTTTGAAGCAGTCTATCTTCCTCCAAAAGCTCCACTTCATATGCTTCGTAGAAATCATTGTACCCAGTTGTTTCACAAATTTTCATCAGAAAATTAATGCAATTGTTCTCAATTACTATTTCGCGAATGATAGCAAATATCGGATACAACATATTGTTGTGATTTTTTATACAGACAATCAAATTTGATCGAAATTCGATTCCATTGATCGATACAATCTTCGGTGTGAAAACGAACTCCTCTTGACTTTCATGTAGAAAAAGGCTGCTGAGAGTTTCATTGCGATGTATTAACTTGCCAGTTGTGTAATGAATTTTATCTGTAAAAGGATTGTCAATAATGTCCAATACCATGCTAAATCCTTGACGCTTTGCCAAACTTTTGCAAATATTCTTAAAATTCCGGCATGTAGCAGACTGAATTTTGCATGGCTTATTTTTTTGTTCAAATGGAAAGCAATTGAACTGCTTCATGCTGCCGCTCTTTCGAATGCAGTACGGATAATGTTCTAGATGATGACTTTTGTTGATTCGTTGATCAAATTTCGTGTAAAATGAATGTTGAAATGAGCTTATATGATCTTCTAGTTCAGCGAGCAAATAATCCGACACGACTGGGGAGCTCAGAATCCTTACAATATTAATCATCCGTCCGATTAAGGACATATACTGGCAATCCGCTGGAACCAAGTGCCCGAAAAGGAACGGAAATGATCGAAGATGTTGAAGATTTTGAGTAGCCGTCTGTTTCAGTTTACAGGCTTTTGGTCTGTTCAGCATTTCCTCCGTGAAGTTTGCTGAGGGTTTGTTTTTCTTGTCAACATATCCATAAGCATATGTATTAATGCGGTAATTAATGTAAGATACATCGATTTTAATGTCTTTGCTTTCGAAGTAAAAACTCAAAACTAATTGTATCGTCAAGGGTACAATTCCTTCCGCAATGTCGTGCATCACGTCCAGTGCATAATTTTCACAGACATGAAAATTTTCCAATTCATTCAGTATGCATCCTTGGGGATGCAGGCCGCAATCTGATGTTGAAATTTCCCCGTTTTCCAACTGCGTTATCTTAGTATCGTACCATTGCTTTGTACGGATGGGATGCTGGAAATGAGGATCTTCTTTGAATAAAGGCCGTGAAATCGTACAAATTCTACAAAAAAAAGTTGGCCCCCGGTCCAAGCAAATTGAAGACTTCGTGAACAGCTAACGTGTCACCACAAAACACCGCCAAGGTAGCTCTGAGGACAAACTTTTCTGAATTGTAGTATACCGTAACCCCTTTTTCAAGCTTTTTTAAGTCGGAAATTAATGGTTGTAATATTTTGTTGTACCCGTGCTTCTTCGCATCGACTGATGTACAGTAGAGCGTTGGGAAGATGCTTTTTGGAGAGCTATTATACTTGTCCGGAAAGTTTTGAACTTTGAACGCAAGACATGACACTTTGTTGATGCCTGCTCTGCTACTCAACCCGTTTCCTACTTCTAAATCGTCCTGATAAATACTCAGTCTGATTCAGTTTGGATGTTCTTGAAAATAGGCACTCGTTTTATATGATTCGCCAGTACAATAAGATCCATATTCTTTTATTCCGCCAATAGTTCGCTGCTCATTTTCAGATTCCTCTAACAATCTGTTAAATTAAAGACTTTATTATTTTTAAAAATGTCACTATTAAAAATGCAAGAATGTGCAACTGTTGCTAATATAATTAAAATTACCACCGATTGCATGTGAAAAGCGATTTCCCTAGCACAGATTTCAAAGTTGAATTGCATCCGGTCTCACCAAACGGTGTTTATTCAATCACCGCGTGGTGAGTGGTGGTGTTCTCCGGTACACAACGAAAGGCTCCCCGCAAGCAGCTAGCGATCAAGGCTGACCTCAACCGGTGATCGAATTCAGTTCCAACTATCGTGTGTGGTGATGTCCGGTCGTTGGCATTAACAGCCGCAGCAGCAGAGCTTTCGGCACGTGGCGTTGAACATTGTTCTCCAGTACACAACGAAAGCGAGCTGCAGCCCACATGAGCATCCATAGAAGGAGGAAAAAGCCGCACCGCTATTGATCGGAATCAGTAGCTCTTCGTGAGTCGCTGTGGGCCATCTATGTCAAGCGCGTCAATTTAAAGAGTATAAACAGAGAGAACCCCGCTCAAATACCTATTCCTACACAAAACACAAGCTCCTGCTGCAGTTAACAAATAAGATTTATTATGTAAGACCACTTAGCCCTACGTCACCATTGCGTACAACCCCATCTTGTAGTTTTTTTTAAACCGGAAGTCAACATCTTGGATTTCAAAATGGCGTTGATTATCTATTTTCATTCTCTATACGTCATCTTGATTCCAAAAATACCTGATGGATATGGATATGATGGATATTTGACAGTATATCCCACTTTTTCTTAAACTGGAAGCCGCCATATTGGATTTTAAAATGGCGTGGCATATCGATTTTCGATCTTTAGACGTCACCCCAATTCCAAAAATACCCATATTGATGGGTAAACAAATCGCCCGACAATGATAAATTTGACGTAACGTAACGGAACGTAAGTTCATTTGACAATGAAAGACAAAATGAACACAAGTCAGGCCAAAACAAACAGCAGGAAAACTGATCGAAAGTGGTTCTGTTGATGTTTAAGGGGATTTGCTCGAAGAGAAGATAGAAAGGACTTTCAATTGTAAGTGATGGTTGTCAGCTTTGTCGTCGCTTGACGATTTTCGATTGAAAGTGACTTTGTTGGGCCCTGCTAGGAATCCGTTTGAAACTATTATCAAATTGAGTTTCCCTTGGATTTCATGTTAGAAATCTTTTGGAACTGTTTTTGGGATGCCCTCGGTTTGAAATACTCATTAGAAGTGCTGGTTTTTGATGCCGTTATAATTTAAATTGCAATTCCGTTCGAATTTTCCCAAAATTTCGTCATAAATATTTTTTAATTATGTTGAATCCTCCACTAAACTCTCATCTCTAAACTATCTACAGACGAATCGCTTCCTGCTCTACTAATGTTAGTTTTAAGTAATTTTGTTAAACAAAACCTGGCTTCGTGTAGTTACTGCGAATGAGCCTTGAAAGATAAACAAAGTGATGTTGGCTACTTGGCACTGATGAAGTCTGCAAGTAGTAGACGAAATACGCGTATCTTTGAAAAGATAAGCAATTATAGTGGAATTAAAAGGAAATAAATCAACACACTCAAAAAGCTCTTCATAAAGGAATTTCGACAAAATTAAACTATAAAAAAAACTATCCTAAGATGTTGTGAACTCAAATTTGGGTTGATATCATTGGCCGTGCAGAAAGATCTCAGCTCAAGCTCAAGGTTTCTATAAGAATTTCTTACTACAATCTTTCACTTTCAAAAATTGTTACCTTTTTCAGCATAGCATTCTGCGGATAATTTTCATGATTCTGTAACTCAGAAAACTTTATAAGTTTTAATGAGACCTTGGAAATCTTTCGAGATCTTGAACTTTACATTATTAACCTGATTACAGAGTTCAGGCAATCTGTTACAGTTTCATAGCAAAAATATTTGTCTATGATTCTTGAAACTAAACTTACTTCTCAATGTCTAAAGTTGTTAAATAGAAAATCTTTTAATTAGCCCCTTTAGCTTGTCACCCTTGGCCGTTTTCTACATTCCCATTGTTGAATCGCTGAGAAGTGAAAGGCCCGCACTGACTTCCGAACAGCTTATATATTTAATTTTGTGTGTGTGGTTCGAATCTATAATTTGATTTTGGTTTAGTTTTACAAGTTGTTTTTAGGTTAGAATAGAACTTACAATTCAGTGGCGATTTTCGCTCGAATGGCCTTTCTGGTCAGCATTCAACCGCTTGCTGTATAATCCTAAGTAGATGTAATTCTTGTTTAAGTTTTTAAGTCCATCAAAATTACCTTCACTAGCCGTAGTAACTATTTAGATTTAACCTAGATGCAACTAGGATTAACTAATTTAACTTTCTATAGTAATTTTCACCCGCGTATATCTGGTTCAATTCTTTCTTTTTCGTTCCTGCAGACTGACGTTTCGACACAGAGAGTTTGTCGCGCGTAGACTCGTCGCTCGTGTCGTGATGTTCAGACGGCCGGGTTGCCAATTCAAAACGTTCAATCAGTCAATGTCCCTGTGCTAACATCCTCCCCCGAGTGCGGTCCACTGGCCTCAATGACCGCACTGCTACTTGAAACATCGAGTACCACCAGTTTCGATACCGGCCGACGAAGAACTCCCCCCGCAGTCTTGATCATAGCCTGGCGCACGTGACCATCCGGTGCTATGATCGACTCAATCACGATCCCGCGAGTCCAGCCATTCCGCTGGCCCTCATCCGCTATCAACACCAAGTCTCCATCTTGCACGCACCGGGCTTCATCGTACCACTTGGTCTGCCTCCTCATCACCGGCAAGTACTCCTTCAGCCAGCGTTGCCAGAATCGGTTGAGCTGCCGCATGATGTGGTTCCACAAATCCCGAGAAACCCCCTGTTGAGGCTCGATACATACGCTTGGCTGTTTGACCCCGTTAGAGCTCCCCAGCAGGAAATGGTTCGGAGTAAGCGATTCAGATTCCGCAGAATCAAGTGGTAAGTACGTGAGTGGTCTAGTATTCACAATGCCCTCTGCCTTCACGATCACGGTCTGCAGCTCTTCATCGTTGAGTTTTCCTTCGCGATACGCATCCCCTATCGCCGCCTTCACTGAACGGACGAGTCGCTCCCATGCACCGCCCATGTGCGGAGCGCTTGGCGGAATGAAGGTCCACTTCGTGTTGGCACTGGTGAACGTTGCTGTTACTCCTTCGTTGATCTGCTCACGAAGCTGTCGTTCAGCCCCGTGGCTGTTCGTAGCGTTATCACTGAAGAACTCCACAGGCGATCCTCGGCGGCAGACAAATCTTCGGATGCAGGAAATACACGATATGCCACTTCGAGGTGAACGGCGCGCACAGTCAAGCAAGTGAAGAGCGCAATCCACCTTTTTACATTCGAGTGACCCTGCTTGACTAACAATGGGCCGAAGTAGTCCACTCCTACGTAACTGAATGGACGGTCGTGTATGGCCAACCGTGCTGGTGGCAGTGGTGCCATCGGAGGAATAGTCGGAAGTGCCTTACGAATTTTGCAGAATTGGCAGCTTCGTCCGATCTGCTTTACCACCGATCGCAGTTTCGGTATGATGAACAGCTGGCGGACTTCGTTCACTACCGTTTCGGAGTTTGCATGACGGTAGAGCCGATGATAGCGTGCGACCAGAAGTTCCGTGCAGCGATGCATTCTTGGCAGGATTACTGGAAAGCGCACGCTGTGATGAATATCCTTCGCCGCTGCAATCCGGCTGTTTTGACGCATCAAGCCCCGTTCATCCATCATTGGCATCAGTTGGTAAACGATGCTCGATCTGTCAATCGATTCCTTCTTGTCTTCCGGTAGTACTTGATTATTCTTCAGCGTTGTTACCTCATCTGCAAAGTTTTCTTTTAGGACCTGCTTCAGAACTTCATTTTCGGCATCATCCAGCTCCTGTTGAGCTAATCGACCACTGCGTTTTTCTCCCTTCTTGGTTACGTTGAAAATGAATCGTAGCACGTAAGCCATACTACGCTGCAACCTCTCCCATTTGGAGAACCGCTCGTAGGCGATCACAGCTTCCCAAGTGGTGTGAAAGAGTACTGATGATCGAAGTTCTACGGCCGTATCCACGACTAGATCCGTAGAATGCGGCCATTCATGTTCCGGGAAGTGCAAGAACTCCGGTCCGTTGAACCACTTGCTGTCGCTACTGAAGTAGGGTCCACTTCCCCACTTTGTTGCCTCATCTGCTGCGTTAGACTCCGACGGAACCCATCTCCACTCATCGACTGTTGTATTTTCGAGAATTTCACCGACCCGGTTGGCCACGAACGGTCGATAGTTCCTCGGATCTGCGCGGATCCACGAAAGCGCAACGGAGCTGTCCGTCCACAGGACTCGTCTTCTGATGGTAATGGAGTGGTTGGCTTGCACGAACTTCATCATTCTTGTTCCCAGGAGACATCCTTGAAGTTCCAGCTTCGGTATAGTCATTGAGTGATGCTACTTTCGCCTTCACAGCGATCAGTGTGCACTGGGGTGTGCCGTCAGCGGTGATTGTCCTCAGGTACAGCGCACAGGAATACGCAAGCGGATTGGCATCTACGAAGACATGAAGTTCAGTAACTTCATACGAAGGTGCTGACGCTTCTGGGAAATAGCAGCGAGGAATGCGAACGTTCGCGATGTACGAAATCATCTTGATCCACCTGCACAAGTCCTGCACCAGAATCTTGCCGTGGATCAGAAATGTGGCCAATAAACCCAACGGGTCGAACAGAGTCATGACGCAGCGTAACACTTGCCTCTTCGTTGGGATTCTGTCATTTTCGAGGAGATATTGAACTTCATCGCTCATTCGAGTGCTGAACGATAGTTCGTCCGTTACTGGGTCCCACACCATTCCGAGCACACGTTCAGTAGTGGTGCTCGTAGTTACCAAGCTTTTACTGGTAGCTGCTTGAGTCTCCCCAAGGCGATCCAGAACACCTTCGTTGTTCGAGATCCAGTTCCTCAATTCGAACCCACCGTTGCGGAAAATCTGACGTACTTCCTCAGAAATACGAAGAGCTTCTTCTTCCGACCCAAAGCTATCGAGGTAATCGTCCACGTACGTTCTCTGCAGTATTCCTTCCGCTGCTCTGGGATATCGAACACTGTGCTCCCGAGCGTTCGTATTTTTCACGAATTGTGCCGACGCTGGTGAGCATGTCGACCCAAACGTTGCAACATCTACCAGGAATATTTCCGGGTCCTGACTTGGATCCAAACGCCACAGGATTCGCTGCGAATGCTTGTCAGCCGCACGCATCAGAATCTGCGAGAACATTTCCTTCACGTCAGAGCCCACCGCAATCTTGAACTGCCGGAAGCGGCACAATACTCCTAACAGCGACACCAACTGGTCCGGCCCTTTTAGCAGCATGCTGTTTAGCGAAACTCCGTCGACCTTGGCAGCAGCGTCCCAAACGATGTGTATATTCCCTGGTTTCTTCGAGTTGGTCACAACCCCCACAGGGAGGTACCAGATTCTGCGAGGATTCGCATCAGAACTACACTGAAGTTCTCCTCAGAATTACTTCGAACTTCTCCTGAGAACTACTCTAAAGGTCTCCTCAGAACTACTCTGAAGTTCTCCTCATCAGAATTAATTTGAACTTCTTCTGAGAACTACTCTATATGTCTCCTCAGAACTACGCTGAAGTTCTCCTCAAACTTACTCTAAAACTTTTCACAGAACTACTTGGAAGCTCTCCTCAGAATTACTCTGAAATTTTCCTCAGAATTACTTTGAAATTTTCCTCAGAACTACTCTGAAGTTCTCCTCAGAATTATTTTGAAATTCTCCTCAGAACTACTCTAAAATTTTCTCAGAATTACGCTGAAGTTCTCCTCATCAGAATTAATTTGAACTTCTTCTGAGAACTACTCTAAAGGTCTCCTCAGAACTTCTCTGAAGTTCTCCTCAAACTTACACTGAAACTATCCACAGAAGTACTCTGAAGTTCTCCTCAGAATTACTCTGAAGTTCTCCTCAAACTTACACTGAAACTCTCCACAGAAGTACTCTGAAGATTTCGTCATAACTACTCTGAAGGTCTGCTCAGAACTACTCTGAAGTTCTCCTCAGACTTACTCTGAAACTCTCCACTAAAATACTCTGAAGTTCTCCTCAGAATTACTCTGAATTTTTTTCAGAATTACGCTAAAGATCTCTTCAGTACTACTTTGAACTTCTCCTCAGAATTACTGTGAACTTCTCTTCAGAACTATTTTGAAATTTTCCTCAGAAATAACGCTGAAGTTCTTATCAGTACTACTTTAAACGTCTCTTCAGAACTACTCTGAAGTTCTTCTCAGAATTACTCTGAAATTTTCCTCAGAACTACTCTGAAATTTTCCTCAGAATTACGCTGAAGTTCTCTTCAGAGCTACTCTGAAACTCTCAACAGAACTACTCTGAAGTTCTCATCAGAACTACTCTGAAGTTCTCCTCAGAATTACTTTGAACTTTTCCGGAGAACTACTCTGAAGGTCTCCTCAGAACTACTCTGAAGTTCTCCTCAGAATTACTCTGAAGTTCTCATCATAACAACTCTGAAGGTCTGCTCAGAACTACTCTGAAGTTCTCCTTAGACTTACTCTGAAGCTCTCCACAAGAATACTCTGAAGTTCTCCTCAGAATTACTCTGAAATTTTCCTCAGAATTACGCTAAAGTTCTCTTCAATACTACTTTGCACTTCTCCTCAGAATTATTTTGAACTTTTCCTCAGAACTACTCTGAGGTTCTCATCAGAATTACTGTGGACTTCTCTTCAGAACTACTCTGAAATTGTCCTCAGAAATACGCTGAAGTCTTCATCAGAACTACTCCAAAGGTCTCCTCACAACTACTCTGAAGGTCTCATCAGAATTACTTTGAACTTTTCCTCAGAACTACCATGAAATTTTCCTCAAAATTACGCTGAAGTCTTCATCAGAACTACTCCAAAGGTCTCCTCAGAACTAATCTGAAGGTCTCATCAGAATTACTTTGAACTTTTCCTCAGAACTACTATGAAATTTTCCTCAAAATTACGCTGAAGTTCTCCTCAGAACTACTTTGAACTTCTCCTCAGAACTACTCTGAAACATTCCTCAGAATTACGCTGCAGTTCTCATCAGAATTACTTTGAAGATCTCCTCAGAGTTCCTTTGAAGCTCTACTCAGAATTATGTTTGAAATTTTCCTCAGAACTACTCTGAAGTTCTCCTCAGAATTATTTTGAACTTTGAACTACTCTTAGGAGAAGTTAACGGCGCCGGTGGTGTAGTGGTAAGCGTGATTACTTCTCACCCCAGCAGGCCTGGGTTCAATCCCAGTCGGCGCCGCCGGGATGTTCTGAGGCATAACATCTCTGATCACACCTTCCTTCGGATGGGAAGTAAAGCCGTTGGTCCCCGGTTCATGAGTTGATGGGTCGATAGGTAGGGTCCAGGTGTGGGAGCTGCCTTCCTGGCACGTCGGTAGCATTGGTGCTCAGCACGGAAAACAAGATCGACGGAAAAAAACAAACCAAAGGAAGGAACTCTTAGGAGAAACTCTCCTCAGAAATACTCTGAATGCAACCGATGCATATAATGATCCGTTTATGGAGCATTGAAGTGCAATTCAATGTTTAAAACAGAGTGTGAACGATAGAGATGGAAGAAGAATGCGGCGTTAATTGAGAATGAATAGTTGGAAGGGGCTTAACCTGGAATGGGCTAGACGAAGATTGCACTAGCATTCGGTTGGCTATTGTTGCGACGGTTGCACGTAGTCAAAAAATCGTGCTCGGTCACTACAACTTCCAGAGAAAATTAAGACTTAAGACTCCAGTACACAACGAAAGGTTCCTCGCAAGCAGCTAGCTATCAAGAGCCCTCGATTCACCGAAGATGAGGAAGAAGCCACACCGCTACTGATTGGATTCAGTTGCTCGTCGTGAGCCACTGTAGACCATCTATGTCACAGTCGCCAAATATTGATATCGAGCACGTGATCCTACGTCAAATCCACGGTCGTGCCTTGGATACAACATCTTACTTTTTTTTGCCGCCATCAATCAGATAAGCATTCGCAACAAACCTGGCGCAGCATCAATTACTCATAACGCAACTCAAAAGGTCGGAAAGGTTTTCCGACACCCACACCTACCCTAAGTCTGGCCAACTGCAATAAGTTCATATTTCATCCCTGTTCGCTGGTTGTCATTTCGAACTGATGACGATACGACAGAAAAATAAAACAAAAATATTACCCCACGTAATCAAACGGAGCGTATTTTGTCACGCTTTTCCGACTGATAAGAGTAACTTTCCTGTCTGTGACTTGTGTGCTACGTGATTTATGGGGATCGTCCCCTCGCACTGAGCGAGATAGTAGGCATCTGTTGATTCTGCGAATTGTCCGATTGTAAAATGTCGCGAATGCACCGCAGTAGACCATTAGTCATAATTTGTCGGGAAAAGAGCGTTGGGGGCCCATTTCAAAAACGCATAAATTTTAACTTCCCTATTTTTCACCACTTTGTCATCGTAAATGAGCGTGACAAACAGCTGCTCCATGGGGAGTCAATCGTCAAAATGTATGCCGCCGACCCCCTCCCGAGCCCTGTTGCTCTCTGCCTCGGTCATAAAGAGCCGATGCGTCGGAAGCTGTGCACGGGAATTTGATTCCCAACCAGAGCGCGAAGCAGAATTCCGAAATGGGAATTTGATTAGCGAGGTGGATTGGGACACGCTCTCGTTTTGGAATTTTATTCGATTTTCATAAACTCGGGCGAGACGATTTCAGCATTTTCAATATTTAATTTGATACAGTCCGTTTGACGATCGGAAGAGCACTTTTGATTCCGTACAGCAAACAAGTCACTGGGAGCCACGCACGTGACTCGCAGGATAAAACAGACACTCCCCGCTGATGTCATCCGAAAAGGTTTCTCCCATCATCCATTCGCATAAACTGTTCGAGCATCGAAATTGCGTCCATCTGGATTCGCTTTTCTGATTCGGTTATGGCGAGCCCCCCGTCGGTCTATGTCTTTATACCTGTTGACAAACCACCGCCCGCTTCTCGCAGTGAAGCGCCTGCTGCGATGGCTTCCCTTTGCAACGAGGACGATTCCTTCGCAGGTCTCAGCCAGCCCACTATAGCTAAACAAAGGGAGTGTGAAAGCAAATATAACAATCGCTTTTTTCCGTTTCGCTTCGCTTTCTTCGCACCCAGCCCATCGGCGGCGGAAAACGGATGTTATTAACGTTTTCCGGCTCGCAATACCGAGTAAGCTCCCACTTCGCCTGCAAGCAGCAACGACTTAATCTTCAGCGAGAATCTTCCATTTGGCAGTAGGCGCTGTGGAAGCACATGTAGGTACATATTCTCCTGGGCGCAAACCTGAAGCTGAGGCGAAAGTAAGTATGGTTTTCATTGTAACGACTGCCGGAAGAAGGTTCTCGTTCTCGAACCGGTTTCTTTTTACACCGATCCGGAAGCAAATTGAATTGTTTGAGTATAGACGGGTCCCTAGAGAGGCAGGTATATATTTTACGGATATTAATTTTGCTGGGCTCGATTCGTGTCTGCGATGGCATGCGAGTTGGCGTGTGTTTGATGCCTGCTTGGAAAAAGGTTTCCTTTTTATGAGGAAGTCAATTGAAAGCGGTTTTACTGCGATGAGTTAGTTTCATTGGATTTGTATTGTTAGATGAGAGGCCTCAAGTAGCCGGGTTAGTTAAGGCACGGTCCAGTCAAAGGAATCTTTCGGGTTGGTAAGTTTTTCGACTTTTCTGGGCATGGAGTGTCATTGTGCTTGCCACACAATAAATAATTTCGTACATTGTTTGGCATACAATGCTTTCCATTAATAACTGTGGAAGTGCATCAAGAACACTTAGTTGGAAGCCGCTAAAACGCTCGCATAAAAAGCTTGATCTAGAAGAAGAAGATTGTAAGATGAGAGTTGAAATTATGATTGGAAAGCAAGCACTGGATTTAGTGCGATGTTATCAACAATCAATACGAAACTAACGGTTTAAAATTGGTTCACTACTTGACTAACCTATTGGTCCCAAGCAAATCGATTAACGTGCCCCATTCTAGTCGAAATTTTAGAATACACTATGTTTGTTTTGATTGACTATGAAAGTTTGACAGATAAAATGAGGGGTTCGTGGATTTTCCCGAGGGGGGCGACACATCTAAATCTCAAGTTTAGATGCTCAACAAATCTCACACTAGCGAATCAATCTTCGAAAAATCTTCTTTTTTTTTTTTTTTTTTTTTTTTTTTTTTTTTTTTTTTTAACTCTTTATTTGTTCCAAATTCAAAATAAATTACATTTCATTTTTAACCTAGGTGCTCCAGTTACTACAGTAACTTACCAGCCTTAATTGTTATGATA